GACTCATCCTGCTAAATACTGGGCTGCAGGGAGGATTTGATGAGCCCAGGCAAGCTCCCTGGTGCACAGCAATCGATGGCAGCTAAATTTAAACCGAGGCCTCCTTTGTACTCCCACTGCCTTCGTCCTAGTTCCAGCCCTCATTACGCCGGCCTTCTCTGAGCTCCCTCCTGGTTCCTGCCTCCATCATCACCAATCTGTCCTTTCAGCTGTCAGGCTTGTCTTCTTGACGCCAACCCCAATCACATCCTTCCTCTGCTCTGAAACCTTACATGACTCCCACTGTCCACACGACAAGACCCACCTCAGCCTCCAGTTCACAGCCTCCACCATTCAGCTCACCCGATTTCTCCCCCATCACGTATCCTGAGTGAAGCCTTCTGCTTCTGAGGACATTCTCTGCCAGAGAAGCCTTCCCCCTCCTCCCATTCTCTTCCCAATTCCTTCTCACCCTTCTAGGGAAGAGATCAGGAGATAGTACATCTTGGGTGCTGGCTAGGATGGCACTGGGCAGGAGAGAAGTAGGCTTCTCTGCCTCTCTGAGGCTCAGACAAGTTAGGGCAAAGGCCACACAATGAGAAAACACTAGATTTGAGATTATGTGAGATTTTGCGCTCTGCTGCTTCCTGAGACTTGGGCTCCATGATGGTGCTGTCCCCAGCCCTCCCGTATGTATTTATTTCCTCCTCATTTCACGTTCCTACAACTCTGGGGCCAGAAAGACTTGGACTTTGATCTCTCACCCACTTATTTGCGTGGTCGTCTAAGAGCAGGGTCGAGTTCATCTCAGCATTATCATTGATTGTATCTCGCACAACCTGGTCTAGACCCACCAGCGCCCACCCTCTGCTCAGAACCCTCCGTGGCTCTCACCTCACTCAGATCGAAAGCGAAAATTCTCCCTGTGGCCCATAAGGCCCTGTGTGCTCTGCCTCATCACCTCCTGCCCTCGCCTCCTCCCACTGTCACCCTGGCTCACTCGGCTCCAGCCACACCGGCCTCCTCGCTATTCCTCAGGAGCACCGGGCATAGCCCTGCCTCGGGACCTTTGCACTGGCTGTAGAATTTCTCCCTGACATATTTGTATGCCTCATTCCTTGCCTTTATGTCTTTACTCCACTGTCTCTTTCTCTGGACCTGCACTGTTTGGTACGTTTACCACTGGCTACATGTGGCCATTAAGCACTCGAATTGAGATGTGCCATAAGTACAAAATATGCGCCAGATTTCAAAGACTTTGTCCAAAGAAAAGAATATATACAATGTCTTATTAATAAATCTTTCATATCAGTTGTTGAAATAGCATTGAACAGATTGGGTTAACAAAATTATGTTATTAAAATTAATTTCACCTGTTTCTTTTTACTCTTTTAATGTGGGCACTAGAAAATTATAGAAAAGACAACCAACTAAATATGGAAAGATATTTGCCAATGATACATCTGATAAGGGATTAATACTCAAAATTTACTTTAAAAAAAAACTCATACAACTCAACACCAAAAAAACAAACAATCCAAATAAAAATTGGGCAAAGTACCTGAATAAGCATTTCTCCAAGAGGACATACAGATGGCCAATAGACATGTGAAAAGATGTTCACCATCGCTAATCGTCAGAGAAATGCAAATTAAAACCACAATGAGATATCACCTCACACCTGTCAGAATGGCTGTCATCAATACATCAGCTAACAAGTGCTGGCGAGGATGCAGAGCAAAGGGAACCCTCGTGCACTGCTGATGGGATTGCAAATTGATGCAGCCATTATAGAAAACAGTTTGGAGATTCCTGAAGAAATTAAAAGTAGAACTACCTTATTCCACTTCTGGGTATTTATCCAAAGAAAATCAAAACTCTAATTTGAAAAGATATGTGCACCCCTGTGTTCACTGCAGCACTATTCACAATAGCCAAGATCTGGAAGCAACCTAAGTGCCCATCAATAGATGACTGGATGAAAAAGGGGTACATATAAACAATGGAATATTATTCAGCCATAAAAAATTAAACCTTACCATTTGCAGCAACATGGATGGACCTATAGGGTATTATGCTGAGTGAATTAAGTCAAACAGAGAAAGACAAATACCATATGATCTCACTTAGATGTGGAATCAAAAGAGCAAAATAAACTAACAAGCAAAACGGAAACAGACTCATAGATACAGAAAACAAACTGGCGATCGCCAGATGGAAGGGGGGTTGGGGGATTGGATGAAAAAGGTGAAGAGATGATAAAGTACAAATTGGTAGTTACAAAATAGTCACAGGGATGTGAAGTACAGCATAGGGAATATAGTCCATAATACTGTAATAACTGTGTATAGTGTGCCAGGTGGGTACTAACTAGGGGACTCACTTCGTAAATTACACAAATGTCTAACCACAGCGTTGTACACCTGAAACTAATATAAAATAATATTAAATGTCAACTCTAATTAAAAGATAAAATTGTTTAAAAAATTATAAATTTCACACCCAGCTCTTACTGAAGTTCTACTGGGCAGTGCTGGTCTGAGCGTTCTGAACACCGAACTGCTTCCCTGCCCGACAGTAGACGACAGTTCCACATATAAGTGAAATCATATGGCATTTGTCTTTCTGCTGCCCCACATCACTGATGTTCCCCTTCCCCTTCTCCCTTGTGCTCATCACCCTGACATCCAGTATATTTATTCCGTCTTGACTCCCACATGGACAGGGATTCCTCTAGCTGCTGTCTCCAGGACCTGGACAGGACCCAACACATTGTAGGTACTCAGTTAATGTTTGTGAAGTGAATCAATGAAGACTCAACCGATGCCTGTCATTTGCTATGCGTGCCCCAACCAGCAGCCTTTATCTGCCAAGAAGGAAGAAAGTGAGATGCAGAAATAGAATCATGATTTATAAGATGGAGTTTTAGGAACACAAATGAATATGAGAAAGATGGTGGAGGAAGAGAAAAATAGAGTAAACTGAATTAAAAGTTCTTTGGGCTTGTAAAGCATGGCTCCCTCCTGTCCTCCAGCTTCATGGTACCTTCCAGTCCTTGGCATGGCACCATCCAAATCCCCACCGTGGTACCATGTCATTCCTTGAATTTGCCAAGCTTCTTCCCACTCCAGGCTCTCTTTCTCGGTCATTTGCTCAGCCTAGAAAGGTCTTCCCTTACTGACCAGATTCCCCTTCCTCATCCATGAGACCTCAGCTTGAGATGGGTCCTCCCTGGGCCCCAGACTAGTTAATACAACCTGATGCTTGCCCTCAGAACGGTTGTATTCTGGCTCTTTCTAAGAATGCTTTATACCTGTGATGGATTCATTTATTTTGTACATTTTTTGTTAAACGTTTTTTTATGCACAAGCTCCATGGGGGGAGGAGAGTATTGCTCTGCCTACCACATAGGACATGCTCAGATGTACATTTGTTGATGGTAGAAAAATAGGCCAGTCTAACCTCAAGTGCCCATCTCTGCTCTAGGAGTAGTTTTGAAAGAGTTGGGAATACCCCCTGTATTTGGGGGGGTGCCCCAGAATAGACCCTGAAACAAGGATTCAGGTACAAATAGTCCATCTGGGAGGTGATCCCAGGAAACGTTGGTGGGGAGATGGGAGGGAAGGCAAGGAAGTATGAGTGGGTGAGTAAGCGACCCCAGTGGGCAGCTGGGATCAGTCTCTTTGGGAGTCCGTGTAGAACTCACATCTTAGAGCAAGGCGGAATGAGAGCCAAGGGAGCTGAGGAATTGATCCACTTACTCCTGGCAGTCTTCGGTCGAGGGTTGTTCCCACAGAGACATTCATTTCATAGGCCTCAATTTTGGAGAAAGCCCTCAAAGAAACTCAGATACAGACTGTTACAGGCCAAAGCGGTAAGGTTGAGTCCCCTGGACTAGACCGAAGACACCTTCAAATTGTTTGCATGGCCACCCTCCACTGGTTTTCAGCATCTCTTGTCCATTGTCTGAAGCTCTGATGACAGCCTCGCCGTGGAGTGGCTTCACAGTAGCTCATTCCACATCGCTTACCTCAGAAATGGATTCGTTCAGGAAACAGGTCATAGAGGTTCCCCAGGCTGCCTGAGGAAGGGGTGCGGAAACCCTTGTCTCACTGGTAACACTTTTACAAAAGAGGTCTTAGGAGGGGGCCTCTCTTGGGGGTGGGGGGCGGTGTTCTACAGAAGGCTCATCTCATTACCATGATTCTTACTCACCTGCATTTGCAAAAATGGGTCTTTTTGACTCAAGGCTTGGGGGCGATAGCCTCTTCTAGGGCCGATGCCAGCTAGTCCACACCATCCGGGCCACACCTTTGGTTGGTTTGTTTGTTTTTCCATTTGTTTCTGAGTGGCTTAGCATACTTCCTGTGTGCCGGGCATTTCACAAGTGTCCGTTCCTTTAATCCTCAATCCTTTGAGGTGTTCTGTAGTTTGAAGTGTACTCTTGAGGTATACTGTACTCTGGGGTACTGTTATCCCCATTATACAAAAGAGGAAACTGAGGCATGGAGCAGGGATGTGATTTGCCCAAGATCACTCATCTGGGAAGTGGCAGAGCTGGGATCTGAATCCATGCAGTCTGGGCTATTAATACTGAACTACTTTCCTGCCAGTTGGTAAAGAGCCCCAAGCCCCGAGGGTCTGCCACTGCCCTGATCCCTCCCCCCATGCCCCCCAGCCTCCCCACGACCCATTCTGATTGTGGTTGTAGAATGTGTTGAACATCATCCTGACCGCACACCCTGGGGAAGTTCCTATTCCTCTCAGTCCAAAACATATTATCATCAACCATACACCTGTTTGGGGTCTTTGTAAATCGCCCGATATCCTGTGAGACAGGTAACTATTAACACTGTTTTACAGGTGACAGAACTGAGACCCAGCGATATAACATCACTTGCTTGTGGTCACCCAGCCAATAAATGACAACATCAAACCCCAAGCACCCCGCCCATCCATCTGACCCTGACCCTGACCCTGACCCCCACCCTCTGTCTTCCGTTCTGGCTTCTTTCTTCCAGCATCTTGGCAACAGTTGGGACGGAGTTTGACCTGCGGACACTAAGGGCGGTTCGAGTGCTGCGGCCTCTCAAGCTGGTGTCTGGGATCCCAAGTGCGTGAGTTTCCGATCCTGGCAGGGGACCCGCTCAGGGCCCAGGAATCCTCAGTTTCCCATCTGCAGAGCACCTTAGGAGGGGCCCCCAAGTTCTCCCCCAGCCTGTGTCAAGGCAGCTTCCATTTTGGGGAGGCCCCCAGGGGCTCCCAGGAACCTGGCTTCAGGTCCGGGCGAGCTCCTGAAAGCAAGCCAGGATCCTCACCCATACCATGGCACCCATTTAGTGAGCGCCTACTGTCTACCAGGAGCCATACTAAGTGCCACACATTATCTCATTCAGTGCTCACAACCATATGAAGCTGATAGTGCTGAAATCTCCATTTTATAGGTGGGGAAACTGAGGCTCGGAGTTGCTGAATAATTTGAGCAGCGTCCTGTGCTAAGTGACAGAACTAGGAGTTAGCAAGTACGACCCCATCCTGGGAGTAACACTGGTGGCAGTAACTGTCACTATATTTTGAGTGCCTGCTGTATACTGAGCACCACAGAAAAAGCTTTATGTGCATTATCTTAGTTCACCCTGTAATCACCCAGTGAACCTATTTTACAGATGAAAAGGCTGAAGCTCGGAGAGGTCAAACTACTCACCTGAGTTCTTACCTTTTCAGTGACGAGCTCCAAAGTCCATACTCATTCCACGCTACTTTCTCATTCTCCGGGGACTTCTACTCCAGCCTGTGGTAGCAGTATTCAGGGTCAGGAACCTTCAGCAGGGAAAAAAAAGAAAAAGAAAATAAGACAAAACAAGGTTGAACTTTTTCTGTCCTACTGCCTCAGTTGTTGTAATAATAATAATAATAACAACAACAATAATAATTTATAAGCACTTACTATGTGTTAGGCACTGTTCTAAGTGTTTGCCATTTTTAAAATCATTTATCCTCATAACAAACCTGTGAGGTGGAGTCTGTCATTATCACCATTTTACATTTTATTGGCTTTGTTCTTCAAGTTCATTGCCATCCAGATTTAAAGAGTAAGATTTTCCAGAAAACCACCGGCAGGGTTTTTTGTAGAAAGAAGGCACATCTACTCAGGTGTCTGCAAGATTCCAGCAGGTGCCTGCATCATATTAAATTAAGGGCCATCCCAAAGCTAATACTTACAAGAATCTGTTTAATGACCACCTCCGACATGTCAAGTACTTTGCTAGGTATGAACTCTCTCTAATTTAATCCTGAGAGGGAGATAACTATTCTAACCCCCATTTACGGATGAAAAAACCGAGGTTCAGAATGGTGACCTGACTTGCTCAAGGTCGCATCACTAATAAGTAGATGACTAGGTCTGGTCCCCTAGAAGCAGACTTAGATAGGTGTTGAGATGTATCTTTATTGGTGGTAGGCGGCGGGCAGGGGCGGGGAGGGGGTGGCGTGCTGTCAGAAGAGGGAGATCAAGGACAGCAGGATGGACCAAGGGAAGATGCCGGGCGAGGATGCAGTCTCAGCCTGATCCTGCGGGACGTTCTAGAGTGTGACTAGCACCAGAATTGTCCTCCAACTTGAAGCAAGGCCTTCCTTTTGTACTTATTTGGTCAGTCAATGAGGGTGAGAGGTGGGGTAGCAACAGCCTCCCAGGTGAGGCAGCTCTTGATAATCAAGGGCAGTCCCATGAAGAGGGGGGCTGGGAGCCATCAGCAGCCAAGGCCCACAGGAGCTGAAGGGTAGATGCACCGCAGCAAAGGAGTTCTGGCTCGGGCACCAGGAGCATCCAGTATCCAGAGCCGAACCTCTCTGCCACACGGCATCCCTTAGCATCACCTTACTGGCTCGGGCACCAGGAGCATCCAGTATCCAGAGCCTAACCTCTCTGCATCCCTTAGCATCACCTTATATTTTGGAGTCCTTGGCATGGCATAGTCCCCTTGGACCACTTTGACAGTTTCCCTCTCTTCCTGGGGTCGTCACCTGTCAGGAGGTGCCATGGGCCATTTGAAGTTCTAATCAAGAAGCAAGTCCCCAAGCTATATGTTGGAATCTTAATTTTAACCATAGACTTTCCTAATATATGGCACAGTGGCAAACAAAAGATTTGATGTCATTCAGACCTGGGTTTGAATCCTGGCTCTGTTATTTCTCGTGCCCTTGGGAGAATCATGACACCTCTCTGAGCCCTGCTTCCCACCTCTACAAAATGGGGATCATTTTACACGTTCGCCCACCTCATGTTGGGGTTGTGCTAGAAGCCACCATGTCTCGTTTCTCTGGATTGGAATTGGGACATTGACTGCTTGCCAGTTCAGAGCTGCAACTAGTCTATGGGGCGCCTCTGCATAAATTAGGAAAAGACGCCCCCTCCTGGTGGAAGAAAATTAGAAAAAGGCACCCCAACTCCGGGTGAAAGCCGTCTGACTGACACCCAGGACCATGGCTCAGAAAGCAGTGGATCTCTACTCCTTTTAGCCCAAAAGATTATCAGATGACACAGCATATATCAAATACTTTTTTAAATATTTTAAAATAAAAAGTACTTTGAAAAATTAGGAGGGATTGTTTCTTTTACAATAATGACCGGACTCTGTGTGTCCTTCCTCCATCTTCCACCCCATCCCCAGCCTCCTGTGAACACTGGGTTCCCTCAGGAGGCCTCCTGGGTGTGGGGTTTGGCAGTGCCTGCTCACGGGGCCATGGGGCCTCTCTCTGTGTCTCCCCAGGTTTACAAGTCGTCCTGAAGTCGATCATGAAGGCGATGATCCCCTTGCTGCAGATCGGCCTTCTCCTATTTTTTGCAATCCTTATTTTTGCAATCATAGGGTTAGAATTTTATATGGGGAAATTTCATACCACCTGCTTTGAAGAGGGGACAGGTAGGTCCGAGCATCATAATATATTTTTTTTTCCAACCTTCCTCCCGCTTATTTTCCTCCCTTGGGGACAAATACAGGATTATTTTCTTTCTCCTGGAAGCTGGGAGAACCCCATTCCAAAAAGCACTGCAGGCAAGATAGAGGTCGAAGCAGCCCCCGAGATGTTGCTAGTGCCTTACTTGGGTGTCCCCCAGAAGCTGTCTCAGGCGTAAATGGTTTATTTGGGAAGTGGTTGAAGGAAGTTCCATCGGGGGTGTGGTGAACTGAGCCAGGGAAAGGAAGGCGTCTCATAAAGGGGTATTGTGAGGAGGTTACCACTGCGGGCCACCGGGGCTCAGTCCCTTTGGGCACGTGAGGGAGACAGCATGGGACACATCTCAGTGCCATGCCCCCTGAGGGGCAAGGGAGCTGGGTATTTTTCCACCGACTTCTGTTCATCACTGGTGAGGACGGCTCCTGGGTGGGCATGAATGCCGTGGCACGGCTGGCCACCCTGCAGGCTGGGTGCATCAAGGGTGTGTTCAGGTGAGAGTAGTCAGGGCAAATGATGACAGGATGTGGACAGGGTGCCAACTGCCTCTGCCTAGTTGACTTGCAGTGACCACAGCCCATGCTGAATTCTAAAGCAGGAAGAAGTGGGGTCTGACTGCTTTGTGGGTGGTGACCCGTTACCTGAAGAAAAGGTGAGTAGGGGATGGTTTCTCCTGTTCTCTCCCAGAATGTGTCTAAAGACACCCCCACTGGGAGGCCTGGCACCAACCAGTCAGAACCTGCCACGAGCACGGTCCTGATCCCTCTCCACACACTGTGCCAGTGTCAACCCCTTAGTGTCTGGGCCAAGGAGTGTGGGTGGGGGGCAGGTAGGAGAAGAGCCAGGAAGACAGAAGGCACCCCGACCCCGACTCAGCTCTGAGTCAGCAGTGGCAGGGCACTGTCGCCCACTGTCCACACACTCAGACCCGGTCGCTCCCAGGTACATTTGCAGTTAACCCTCCAGTCCAAACTCTTTTGCTCTCTGAAGCCCAAGAAGCAAGTGGAATTGAATAAGGAGAGAAGCCTGTGTTTCCCGTTTGGCCCGCCGGCCGTCTCAGTGCAGACAGGCTGAATGGCAGCTCTCGTCATGGGTCAAGGGAATCATGAACTGAAGGACCGGACGGAGGACACAGTGAAGCTGAAAGGGAACTCGTGTGGGAAAGGAAATGTTTCGGGCCTGCCTTATTGAGAAAAGATTCTGTGCCAGAGTGGCTTCCTACCGATCTCTCTACCGAGTGACCCCCAAGTGGCCAGGCCCCGTCCCCACACCTCCCCAGAGGAAAGGAAACCCCAGTAGGGAAGGTTTATTTGAGGTGCTTTTTTTTAAATTTTCTTTCTTGCTTTTGCTCCTCCTGTCCCCTCTCCTGGGCTTGTGAAGTTTGCTCAATATGGGATGTCCTAATTATTTCTTTCCCTGATGAAGAAGGTGTTAATTGAGGCAGAGCTATTTCTGCGCCTGGCCTTGTCACCCAGGCAGAAATTTGAGAAGGAGAGATACAGGGCAGGGCCCCTCGGAAAAATCAGCCAAGAACAGAGAAACCAGGACTCTTGGATCCTAGATTTGGGGGTTTTGTTGGTTTTTTTCCTTTCCAGCCAAGAAGACACATGATAGGCTTGGGTCTGAGTGGGGTTGTGAGGGGACAGACGTGGGTGGGGCCACCAGAGAAGGTGGGAAGCCTCCATTTAGGAAGATGACTGAAAAGCTCACGATTAAAATTATAAGGCGTGTGAGTAAGAGACAGATATATACAGACACCCAGGCAGCAGGTTAATTTTAAAATATATTTATAACCAAATTCCTCAGACTCTGGCCGGTTGCTTTTCTAGAAGCAGCACTCGGAGTGTTTCATGATGGGGGGCGGGGGGCGGGGGTTGAGAGGGGATCGCAATTAAGAATGCTGCTGGGCCAAGCTGCTAAAGATAGACAAGCCCTCCGTCGCGTTCCTTCGTCATCAGGAACCCGTTCCCCCTGTGCCCAGTACCGTGCTGAACGCTCACAGAGACGCAAAGATACAGCGAAATTCTACCCGCTTTCCAATATCTGCAGCCAGTTCGTAGCAATGAAGACCCAGGCATGATTTTATCCCCACGTTATGCACGTGTGGAAGCTATCACAGCCTTGAGAAAAAGAAGGCACCCATGTTCAGTGGGGTAACGGGATAGAAATTGAGCCAGATTTAGGCACAGGGTGGAAATAGAAGGTTCTTGACAGAGGCCATCTTCCCAGAAAACAATGAAACTTCCCTTCTCATTCAGTATATAGGAGCCCATGGATTTTTTTTCCCCTGCCCCGAGCCTTATGTTTAAAAGATTTTGCCTTCCAACTTGTATTTATTAAGTCAGAGCCCCTGCACCAAATCCAGCTTGAATGGGGAAGGTGTTTCCAGCCACTTAAACTAGTGGCCGACGTGGTCATTGCTTCCTGAGCAGTGGGTGACCCTTCTGAGAGCAGTGGGTGGGACTTTGCATGACCTAGAGTTTCTATTTAACCAGCGCTTCAAAGGCCAATACAGTGTGTTCCGTGCCAGTTTATTCTCTTTGCTATGTGCTGAGTGGAGGCTGGAAATTGGTACATTCAGATTGGAGCACGTACATTGTGTTATATTTTTGTTTAATGGGCAGCTTGAGTTTACACACTCGGCTATCTGTTTTCTTGGTGGACCATGTCACTCTGAAAAACCTTCAGAAGTATCATTCACTAAATAAGGTTCTCATATCTGCGGCTCTGATCCAATGGGGACACACCTGGAACAGTGCGAGCTCCCCTGACTCCATGTGTTCACAGAGACACCTTTCCTCCCTGCTCCTGATCAACCTTTTGGAATTTAGATCTGGCCATTAACACACAACACAACTTCACCAGGAAGCTGTCTTTGGTTTCCAGCAAAAGGGGCATCCATTGACACCTGTCTAGTTACTTGTGGCATATTCAGAATCTGACTTGCTTTTTGGGGAGAAAGTTTAGCCCCTGTGCCTAGGGTATATACTGTCTATACTGGCCTCTGTCGCCGCCAGAACAGCTCCCTGAGCCTGGCACATCTCAAGAAAAGAAAAAATTCAGACTACCGAAGAATAACACAATGTGATTGACAAATTTGTCCTAATGGAAGTCTGGAGAACACTGCACCCAACTGCCTCACAGTGACACAACACATTTACCAAAATTGACTATTGGGGATCATAAAGTGCATCTCGACAGATTTCAAAAGACTGAATAATGCAGAACATATCCTCTGGCCCCAGGGCAATTAAGCTGGAAATTGGTAACAAAAAGACAACTCTAAATGTGTTCGGAAATTAAGAGACATGCTTATTTGTGGGTGAAATGATAGGATGTCTAAGATTTACTTTAAAACTATTCTAGTGGCAAGGCAAAGTGTGGGAAGGGGATATAGACGAAATAAGAGTAAGTCTGAGTTGATAAATGTTGAAAATGGTGATAGGTACATGGGAATTCATTATGCTATTCTATTTTTACATATATCTGACAAGTTTTTTTTAAGAGAAGTACTTCTTAATTATCCATGGGTCAAAGAAAAAGTGATAGTGGAAATTGCTGAATATTTTACTTGAACAATAATAACAATACATGACAAAAATTTGTGAGATGCAGCTAAAGCCACACTTAAAGGGCAATGTATAGCCTTAAAGTTACTCCATCTCAAAAATGTAGGAAAAGTAATAAAGCTTAGAGAAGAAATTAATGAAATTGAAAGCAATGAATAGATCAACAAAGGCAAGTGTTGGTGGGAGGGGTGGTTTAAGACTGATAAATTCAGCGTTTTTTGATTGTTTTTCAATAGATTGAATCTTTACGGGCCCCTATTTCTCAGAGCTGGTTTTTCAAGCTCCTTCTCCTGACTTTTCTCCACTTTCATTTAATAGATGACATTCAGGGTGAGTCTCCAGCTCCGTGTGGGACAGAGGAACCCGCCCGCACCTGCCCCAATGGGACCAAATGTCAGCCCTACTGGGAAGGGCCCAACAATGGGATCACTCAGTTCGACAACATCCTGTTTGCAGTACTGACTGTTTTCCAGTGCATCACCATGGAAGGGTGGACTGACCTCCTCTACAATGTAAGTGATGCAGACTCAAGGCACAAGTACCAGCCAGCTCCTGAGGCTTTAGTGGAGGGACCCTGAGCTGAAGAGGTAGCCCAGGGATGACTCAATATGGTTACAGAAAAGCTAGCCTGAGGCTCAGGCCTTTAAAGATACTTGGGGGCTCATCCTCAGAACGCTTAAGTAGGGAAGGTCCCTCGGGACATGGAAAGCCGGAGGGCACGTGGATGCTGCAAGTGTTTAAACATAATTTAGATTTTCAAATACAGGCACACCTCGCTTTATTGCACTTCACCTTGTTATGCTTTGCAGATACTACATTTTTTTACAAATTGAAGGTTCGTGGCAACCCCGTGTCAAGCAAGTCTATTGGCACCGTTTTGCCAACAGGCTCAGATGGTGGTTAGCATTTTTTAGCAATACAGTATTTTTTAATTAAAGTATGAACATTGGTTTTTTTAGACCAGTAATGCTATTGCACACTTAAGAGACCACAGTATCATATAAACCTAACTTTAATACACACAGGGAAACCAAAAAATGTGTGTGACTCACTTTATGGCAATATTTGCTTTATCACGGCAGTCTAGAACCGAACCTACAGTATCTCCGAAGTCTGCCTGTGCCTAAAGATTGTGGGATTTAAAAACCAACATGGGAAGAAGAATAACGCCCTTGGACTTATGCAAAGGGCGTTCTGCACTAGGAATTGCTGGCCCTCCTCCGGCCATGCACCTCCTCATGGTGCGAGGAATCCGTGGGGCCAAGGGGACATGTCTACCAGGAGCTGGTGCCACCATGCTGAATTAGGGCCCAACCTGCTCCAGTACAACCTCATTTTAACTAGTTACCTCTGTGATGACCCTATATTCAAAGAAAGTCATGTTCCAAGGTCCTATGGGTTTGGACTTCAACATATCTTTAGGCAAGAAAAACAATTCAATTCATAATACCCCCCTATTTTCTAGACCACACTCTGGGTTATCCAGGATACTGGAATTCTCTGTCCACACCCAGATTCCATGGACTTGCATGAGATTCTTGGCTACTGGAATTCCCGTCTATACCCTCTGAGGGCCAAGGATGTCCTAGGGATGGCCGTTGGCACAAGTGTGTCTGGAGCTTAGACATGCAGGTGGGATTGTCCACTCCCAGGCAGGACAGAGCCATGAGTGGAAAGAGAAGGTAGCAGACCACAGTCAGGGGCAAGGCTGGCTCTCCTCACACCACGGTCTAGTCCAGATGTCTAGATTCTAATTTTTACCCTGACCTTCCCAGTGCTTACGAAGGTATGTTTGTAAAGGAGAAACACGCAGCATATTTTATTCGGTACCTCTTAAATATTGACACATAGTATGTGGGCTTCCATTGGTACCTTTGTCCTAGGTCTTGAAATTATTAGAGACAGATCTGAAAAGCATGTACACCCTCACCTGCCTCCCCTTCCACTGTTTCCTATCCTCTGTCCAGGGGCTGCTCCACACACATACTGCAATTGCCAGTTAAAGTTCTTTCTGTATGAGCCAAGGCTTGGCCCACTAAAGAAGCAATACCAGGTTCCCTCCCACACGCAGAGAAGCTGAATTCTCTGCCTGGTCACGTGTGTTTTTCTTAAGGAATTTCCCTCCTTAGGGATGAAGGGAGACTTACAAGAACCCATCCTTTTGATCAGTGGCTCATTTTAAGGTGGGGTTGAGGGTGCTGCTTGGGAGCAGGCAGCCAATGGAGCTCCCATGGACAGTTGTGCATGTCACACACTGCACAAGTCACCACATCTCGGGAGTGCTGTCCATATTGTAGACAATGTAGATTTCTACTGTCGTTATGATAACTTATTGACAACCGTAAAAGATTTAGGAAAGGAGCATGTTGCCTTAATTTGCATGAAGACCGTGTCCGAGCATATTATCTCTAGGAATAGACAGCAGATCTGAGAGACGCTTGGGCTCTCTCGGGCTTTCACCTGCAAATAGCTTGGGCAAAAACTGGCCAAAGCTTCCTGGGGGATTTTTATGAGTTCTTGGTCTTTGTTTTGTAAGGCTGGCATGGGAGGAGGCTTCAGGGGAAAATGAACCATCCTGGGAATGAAACAGAACTGAGGGACAATTAGAGAACTCAGGAGAGCAAAAAATGGGGAGTGGAGAGCAGGAGCTGAGAAAATTGCGAACATGGAAAAGGCTTGTGTCATGTGATTGGATATCCAGAGAAAGGATCCAGGGAGTCAAGAGAAGACACTGGGGATGTGCTCAGTGACGGAAAAGGAAGTGTGAGCACAACCGAGAATTCCCAGGAGAGTCTACAATCATAAGCACCATTATCTGAGGGGATGTGCATCCTAGAAGCTTAGAGCTGAGCCACCTCAGGGGAAGCGAGCTCAGGAGGTGTGGCTGAGAGCACAGTTGCCAGGCCGCCCAGGTTCCCATTCCATCTCTGCCACTTCCTTGCTGTACAGATTTGGGCAAGTTGCTTGGCCTCTCTGGGCCTCCATTTCTACTTGTGCAAAATGAGCAGAAGTACAGTCTCACCTCATAGGGCAAGAGGACTTACTGAGCTGGATACATGTGAAGCATTTAGAACAGTTTCTGGTACTGGGCAAGCTCTGTGTAGGCCAAATTTTCCACCCCGATGGACGCTCCTTTTAGAAACGTGTGAATTTTTCATCATAGAAACTCCATCAGCACCCGAGGACATGGTGTGAGCTATGAAGTCCATCTTTATTTTCTACCCTCACCCTTCTGGTAAATGCCACTAACTCAGAGTAGCCTTCTAGAACTTTCCATGCACTTATATCCCACTGTTATCCTTTGAGTAGAAGCCCGAGCAGTGATTTCAGCCCAATAAGAGTCTACAACAGCAATAAAGTACCACAAATTGGGTGGCTTAAAACAACAAACATTTATTGTCTCACCGTCTGGAGGCCAGAAGTTCAATATCAAGGTGTCAGCAGAGCTGCATTCCCTCTGAAGTCTCTAGGGGAGGATCCTTTCTTGCCTCTTCCAGCTTCTGGTGGCTGCTGACAATCTTTGATATTCCTTGGCTTACAGAGTCTCTTCCCTCCACTCCGATACCCCATCTTCACTTGGCCATTTTCTTGTAAGAACACTGGTCATGTTGGATTAGGGCCCATTCTACTCCAGTACGACCTTGTTTTAACTAATTATATCTGCAGTGACAACCCTATTTCTAAAAAACATTACGTTCTGAGGTCCTGGGAGTTAGAACTTCAGCATATCTTTAGGGAAGGGACATGAGTCAACTTATAACACCTCCCAAATAAACAACCTGTACCTGAGTTTTTGTTTGGGGCTTCCCAAAATAATACACCACCCCCACAATACAACCACTCGGGTTTCTCATTGCCAAGGGCAGGGGCTCAGGTTTTTGAGTTTCTGCTGGTGAGGTCAGAGCTGTTATTTTCCTGGACTCACCTGGGCCCTGCCCCTGTGCTCTGCCATCTGCCAGACCTGTCCTAGGACACCCCTTGCTCTGTCCAGCCACAGGTAGGCACAGTGTCTGGAATCTACTTGTATAAGGCGAGGGTCATGAGCATGGCAGGTGAGATCCATGGAGTCTGGACACACCTACACCAAGCATCTTAGAATCCACAGGCTCGATTGTCAAATGGATGCTGCCCCCATGGGTGGGGAGTGCCTTATGATCCCAGCATCTCATTTTTTTTCCATTCATCAAACTCCATTAATGTATTCTATAATTTTTTATTGAGCACCTACTGTGTGCCAGGAAATAGGTGATTGGGGACACCAAGTGAAGATGACAGGAAAAAATCCGCTGGTAGGGAGACAGATGTGAACAGTCAACATGATAAATAATAAAACACTCAGGAAGTAGAAGTTAGCAAATGCATAAAATGGGACATCTTGGAAGAGGTGATATTTCTACAGAGAAGAAGGGAAGAGCATTCTTGGCAGAGGGAACAGCAGCAGCTCAGCTACACAGCATGTTCAGGCCCCTTTCAGGCTTTCCCACTTTCGATTTGTCTCTTTTCTTTCCCACTTGGCTTCCTAATTAAGTGCCTTTTAGAAAAAGCCTAACCCAACTAATCGGCAACGCCATCAAAGATTTATATTAGGATGTGTGTTCCAGCATTATTTGTAAAAATAGAACAAAACTGGAAGCCACTGATTAAATACCGTATGGTCCCTCCATATGATGGAGTATCATATCATCATTAAAAATCATCTGTTGGGAGAGTATTTAAGGATGTGGGGAAATGTTCACTGTATAATGATGAGTGGGGGGAATTGATTTAAAAAAAGGAATCAAGGTGACATAAACCTTATGTCTTAGTCTGCTCAGACGTTACAAAATACCATAGACTGGGTGGCTTAAACAACAGAAACCTATTTTCTCACAGTTCTGGAGGCTGGAAGTCTGAGATCAGGGGGCTAGCATGGTCCAGTCTGGTGAGGGCTCTCTTCCTGTCTTGTAGACGGCCGCCTTCTTACTGTGTCCTCACATGGCGGGGGGAGAGAGAAAGAGAGCAAGCTCTCTGGTATCTCTTGCTAAGACACTAATCCCATAATGGGATCCCCACTCTCATGACCTCATCCAATCCTTATTACCTCCCGAAAGCCTTACCTGCTAATACCATCACTTTAGGGGTTACATCTTCAACATATGAATTTGTGGGGAAGGGACACAATTCAATTCTTAGCAGTTTACAATCTCAAGTGTGTAAATTCGAAATATAAGTAATGAAAAAAAGACTGGAAGACACTAAGATAGCCTTTACATAGTGGGATTCAGGAATCTTTACATTCTTGATACTTCTCTATATTGTCAAATTTAGATGATTAGCACAGTTTACCTTTAGAAACAAGAGAAATATCTAAACTTGTCTTACTAAACGTTTAGGAGGAAAAAAGATTGGTGGTCATTCTTAGACCAGGAGGTGGGAGGGAGGGCAGAAGAATGAGAATTTTCTGGGTTATCTTAATTTGCATAACCTGCCCAGAAAGAATCCACACCAAAATAAATAAATAATTGATTAATTC